CGTGTCATTATCCAACCACCACTGAGATCACAGAAGTTAGAGCAGCTCCGTTCCGGTCACTGTGGAATAGTGCGCATGAAGGAAATGGCACAAAGCTATTTTTGGTGGCCTGGATTGGACAGTGCTATTGAAGAGAAGGCAAGAGCTTGTATGTCATGTCATTGTGTGAGGAATGCACCCCAGTGGGCAGCCCTACATCCATGGGACTGGCCTGAAAACCCGTGGCAACGTATTCACGTTGACTTCGCTGGCCCCCTTGAAGGAAGCATGTTCTTGGTGGTGGTAGATGCCCATTCCAAATGGCCAGAATGCAGTCCACTACTGCAGAGAGTACTATCCAAAAACTACGAGGACTCTTTACTCGTTTCGGTCTGCCAGGGCAACTGGTGAGTGACAACGGACCGCAGTTCGTCTCTCAGGAGTTTCAAAAGTTTATGAAGGCAAATGGGATACACCACATCACTTCAGCACCATATCATCCATCCACCAATGGATTAGCTGAAAGATTTGTGCAGACAATGAAACAAGCTTTGAAATTGGCAAGGGGACAATTATCCATTCAAAAGCGTTTGGACACCTTCTTACTATCCTACAGAAACACACCTCAGGCTATAACCAAGGCATCCCCAGCCTTTCTAATGATGGGATGACAGCTGCGCACTTGCTTTGATCTGCTGAAACCTTCTGAACCCCAACAAATTGTGCAACATCAGCAGCAAGATCAAGTCATCAGGCGTGCATCCAGAGCAAAAGACCAAACCTTTAGCCCGGGACAGCCGGTTTTGGCTCGGAATTATACTTCTGGAGCTAAATGGGTCCCTGCCACTGTCATCGCTCAAACGGGACCTGTTTCCTACACAGTCCGGACTGCAGAGGATCTCACCTGGCGACGACATGTAGCTCAGCTGCTGCCAGGTCATACCAGTCCTCAGGACACATCTTCAGTTGAGTTGCCTGACTTCACCACCTCCGGCGAGACACCGAATCAAGAGTCACCTGTTCCTGACTTTTCCCCTCCATTACTGCCAGCGGCAGAGATACCCCTCTGCCCGGCACGAGCTGATACCCCATCCTCACCCATTCACCCTACGAACCCTAAGCCCATTGTCAGGCCCGCGCCCAAGACACTTTTGGGTCCAACAACACCAGAAGTCCACCGTAATCCACCTGGAGACAGAAGGCCTCCTCGTCGGCTGGATCTTTAGCTAGGGCGAACCCATGGTTATGGGGCAAAATAATCCCCAGGGTTTAGCCGGGAATGGAGGCAGTCTACCCTCCTTCTCTAGTTTAGTGTTTGTTTTATTTAGGGGACATTCTTATTAAGGGGGGAGGAATATATTGTGTATTTGGTTGTTGTGGTAATAGAATCTTGTGTTGCTATGGCAACTGAGTTAGATTATTAGGGGATAGCCCAGTCAGTTTTGGCTGGCGGTTGGCTAGTTCTGGTGTGGCAATAAATGGCTGCTCCAAGGTTTACAGCTCTCTGTGTCTCCAGTGATTTCTTCCTAAAACTGTTGCCCCCAAGGATATAACAGTGGAATCTCCTTCCTTAGAGGTTTTTAAGGTCAGGCTTGACAAAGCCCTGGCTGGGATGATTTAGTTGGGGATTGGTCCTGCTTTAAGCAGGGGGTTGGACTAGATACCTCCTGAGGTCCCTTCCAACCCTGATATTCTATGATTCTATGACACCAGGGCCTGACAGAGACCACATATGGGGGAGATTTGGAGTTTGTTTCATTAAACCTCCCTAAGCTTTCAGATGTTACTACTGACTGACAGCCCCTGAACCTCAAAGTAGTACCTATGTCTTCTCCAAACACACCAGGGGATCCAGAGACCCAGGAAGTGACACTGAGCAGAGACAGGGTTTGTAACTGACCCGGTGGACGGCCCCATCTGGAGCTGAGAAACTGAGCTGTGTCACACCCGGTACTTGGAGCAGAGATACCCAGCCACAGGGTGAGCAAACAGCAGGAGACAAGGGGTCTGAGCATGACAGGGTCACAGATTCACCTTACAAATATCAAGTACTGTGAGCTCAGAGTGAGTTTGGGGGCAGATGGACAGACTGAAGGGGGGGAGGGTGGCGAGAATGTTCTTTAGAAATGACGTCCTACTCAAGTAAATAATAACATCCCCCCCCGTATGAAATAAATTCCTGCCCCCTCAGCCAGCCACACCCAGAGATTCTCCTGCCTCCGCTTCATCCCAAGCTGCTCTGCACAGTTCTGGTTCCCCCCTTCCAAAGGGCTCCAGTGGTGCCAGGGTGGAGGGATTGAGACCCATGAAGCGCACTGGGACCCGTCCTAAGGACCTGAGAGTGGGGTCCTTGAGTGGGCAGGTCTGGAGCCCAGGGCAGGGGGGAACCAGGGTCTCTGACGCTCCCTCTTCATCACCAAGGGAGACAGATGAAGCAGCTGCCAGTAATGCTGGCATGTCAGGCCGCATAGGATGGCCTGTCAGGATACCCAAGGCTTGGGGTTACCTGATTGGCTGGCACCCATTGCCTAAACCAGGAAATGACCTGGCTGGGGGCTGTCAGAGCAGCTGTGACGTCCTGCTGCTGCGTGGGACCCTGCTCTTTGCCTGGCTCCTGAAAACTGTCTCCAGCCCTGTTCCTGCTCCGCTCCCATCCTGGTTCCTGCCTTGCTCTGAACTTGTTCCTAGTTCCGGCCCTGCTCAGACAATCAGGCCATACCACCTACGTCCTGGCTCCCGGCACCCAGAGGGGGGCAGAGGGATGCGCCATCATTGGTGATTTTTCAGTCTGGACGAGGTGTCTTTTCTAAAAGAGCTGCCCTAGTCCAAGCAGGGTTAATCCAGGGCTCTTCCATGGCCTGTGTTCTGCAGGGGCTCAGAGCAGACGATCAGTCGTCTCCTCTGGCCTCAGAATCGATGTTTCTATGATACTGACGAATGTTACAGTCCTGGCCCTAAATCTGGGTTTCAGTTAAACACCCCAGGTGATCAAATCCTGCTATAAACTGAAGCGACGTTTATTGGTTGCCTGGGACCTCCCCTTCCTCCCTCCCTCCCTCCCCATATCACTGCCAGCACCCGTCCCCCTGCACCTCCAAACTACCAGGGTGCCCAAGGACCCAGGGATTGGCACTGACCGGAGAGGGGGGTGAAACTGACCCAGTGGGTGCCCTTGTTAGGATATCGATATTCAGGCCTGTCTGCAAAGGCCTAGACTTTAAGAATTTAGGTGTATTCTTATCACTTAGCTAGTTATAGATGTACAAAACACGAATCAAAATCACTGTCTGCCTGTCTATGGGCCTTCGCTCACTAGGATAGTCTGAGGCCTGGTTCTTAGGCTAAGGCCTTTGGCTAAGCAGCAAAGGCAGCCATAAGGTGGGACGCGAACGGTCACATCCTCACATCCCAAACCAGCCCCACTGAAATAAGGTGCTATTGGGCTGTTAGGAAGACAATCCTGTCCTGATAGTGCCCATCACCACCAGATAAAGAAACAGATCTTAAGATCGTTAAAGAAAACTTAGTTTGGTAGCATCCGGTCTGGCAAGAATTCACTTATCAATCAATAGATGGGATGTGAAATCCTCATTTCTGTGTTGTTCTATGACTGTAGTCCCCACTTCCCTATTGTTTGTCTGTATAATCTCTGTCTGGTTAGAATCATAGAATATCAGGGTTGGAAGGGACCTCAGGAGGTCATCTAATCCAAGCCCCTGCTCAAAGCAGGACCAATTCCCAACTAAATCATCCCAGGCAGGGCTTTGTCAAGCTTGACCTTAAAAACCTCTAAGGAAGGAGATTCCACCACTTCCCTAGGTAACCCATTCCACTGCTTCACCACTCTCCTAGTGAAAAAGTTTTCCTAATATCCAATCTAAACCTCCCCCACTGCAACTTGAGACCATTACTCCTTGTTCTGTCACCTGGTACCACTGAGAACAGTCTAGATCCATCCTCTTTGGATCCCCCTTTCAGGTAGTTGAAAGCAGCTATCAAATCCCCTCTCAGTCTTCTCTTCTGATTTTTCTGTTATTGTTTCTGTCTGCTGTATAATTAATTTTGCTGGATGTAAACCAATTAAGGTGGTGGGGTATAATTGGTGAAATAATCATGTTACAATATGTTAGGATTGGTTAGTTAAATTTCAGTAAAATGATTGGTTAAGGTATAGCTAAGCAGAACTCAAGTTTTACTATATAGTCTGCAGTCAATCAGGAAGTAAGGGGGGGAATGGGAACAGGGATACAGGCAAGGCTCTGTGGTAACAGAGCTGGGAAGGGGGACACCAAGGAAGGAAATTGAAATCATTCCTTGCTGGAAGTTCACCCCAATAAACATCAAATTGTTTGCACCTTCGGACTTCGGGTATTGTTGTTCTCTGTTCATGCGAGAAGGACCAGGGAAGTGAGAGGATGAAGGAATAAGCCCCTAACAGCCCTGTGTGGAGCTGAGTGACTGGGCTGTATCTCACCCAGTACATGGAGAAGAGATTCCTGCTGTTTGCTGCCCCATGGCAGGGTGACAGGGGGTCTCACCTGTCACTGCTACTGAGATGGGTCGGCTTATCACTGATGGGATCTCTCACCCAGACTCCATCTTCCAGTAATCACAGGTGTATACTCTGGCATGCGATCCCGACACCCCTGACAGCTGAATGATATCAGTGTAACTGTAACCAGGTAAGAACAATCCCTTGGTGTCAATTCTCTGGTTGTCCCTGAAGAACTGGATCCGGGCCACAGTGGACGCCCCAGCAACTGTAGCCCACGAAAGCTTATGCTACTATAAGCAGAGTCAGGATAAGCTCTACCCTGACATCTGGTGGTGAATTATGGCAAGTGTGGAAAAGAACTCCAGGGGCTGATCTTGTTTGCATAGGCACACCCACCCGTCTAGCCTGGGACAACAACAACTGAAAGTGGTTACTTTGGCTAGTGTGGGATCCCCAGTTTCTCTGTTATTGGGGCAAGAAGAATAAAGTGTTGTTACCCTGACTCTGTAAATCAAGGCCAGTGGAACTGTTGTATGACAGAGAGACTCACCAGTAACTAAGTAGCACTCGCTAGACAAGGGGCATGGGTTACACAACCCAGTGAATTGAGAGTGGCTGGGGACAGGTATGTGTACCTGAGGGTATGGCCCCTGTTTGAGGGCCTGGAATACTAATTGCACTATCTTCTTTCTCCACTGTTGAATAGCAGAACTAACTTTGGTTCCATTAGGAGTCTAACTCAAAGTTGCTGAGCTGAATTCACTTTAGGCCAATAGTGCACCAGCACTGGGGCTCCCCTACTACAAGCTGAAATCATTAAAAGAGCTGAAATTGCTGAGTTGAGATCACTGAGTGCTGTGTTACCCAGTGGGAGAGCCTGAAGATATATTGCTAAGCAACTAGCAGAGCCGAGCAGTTTGTGGGACGGTTGGAGCGGCCCATGGAACAGCGAGTGGAGCGGAGCTGAGCCATTTGCGGGGGCAGCTGGAGCGGTTCATGGGACGGCTGGTGGAGTGGAGCGGCTGGCAGAGCTGAGCAGTTTGTGGGACGGTTGGAGCAGCCCAGAGAACGGGGGAGCAGAGCGGAGCAGTTTGCGGGGACGGCTGGAGGAGCGTAGCAGCGCGGCGCGGCTGGTAGAGCGGAGCCATTCGTGGTAAAGGCTGCAGCAGAACTCCACGGAGAGGTGGGGCAATCGGCCTCGGACCACATAAGGTGCCCTTTAGCATCCCGTGTGCCCCCCCATTTCCTCCCAGGCTAGGGGGTAAAACTCTGCAGATAAACTTTTGAACTCTGGGGCGGCACTGACCAGGGACAGAGGCTTTGGGGTTGTTGGACTTTGGGGTGATTGGACTTAAGATCCTGAGGGGAAAAGGACACTGCCAAACTTACTTGGAGGTGGGTCTTTTGCTCATGGTTTGTGTTATGAATCCTGTTTGTGGTGTTTCCCCAACATAATGCCGCATTGTTTCCCTCCTTTATTAAAAGGCTTTTGCTACACTCAGACTCCGTGCTTGCGAGAGGGGAAGTATTGCCTCCTAGAGGCACCCGGGGGGGTGGGATGTAATTGTCCCAGGTCACTGGGTAGGGGCTCGAGCCGGTTTTGCATTGCGTTATTGAAACGGAACCCCTAGATACTGAACCCGGCCCTTGTTGTTGCCAACTCAGAGGGGCAGAAGGGTTACACTACAATAAATTTGTTAGTCTGTAAGGTGCCACAAGTACTCCTGTTCTTTTTGCGGATACAGACTAACACGGCTACTACTCAAACCCAGCAACTGAGCACGTCAGGGTCACAGCTTCTCCAGTTATGTAGACAGGCTGCTGCAGGAACACGGTGAGCTGGGGAGCTGGGGTGGGGGCTGAAAAAAGGGAAGGGACTGCCTGTCATATGGCAGAAAGTGAGAGAGAGAGAGAGAGAGAGAGTGAGTGTGTGTGTCCACTGCCCCCTGCTAGAGATGACCAGCTCTGCTCTGTGTGTGCGACATTCATCTCATTAACTGCAGGTTCTGGGTTGCCCACAGGAAATCTGGGGAGTCTCCGTAAAGCAAAGGCACCAAGGGAAGCTGGAGAAAGCACAGCACTCACCTCTCACAGAGATGGAGACCGGGGCACTCTGCACAGATGGGATCTCCCTTCCAGATACGCGTATCCAGTACAGGCAGGTGTACGACCCGGAGTCCCCTGGCTTCAATTTAAAGTTTGTGGCCCTGGAGTTGGATAAGACATCAGGTGAGATGTTCTTTCCCCTGTACTTGTAGACCTGAAATCTTGTAACTGCCTCATCTCCACGGGGAGGTGAACACGTGAGCCGAACAGACTCCCCGGTGAGGTACAGCTGGTGCGGGGGGCTCAGGGAGAGGGTGGGGGCTTCTGGGGTGTCTGGAAAAGACAACGGGTGAGATTTCACTGCAGCAGAAGGGGCTCAGAGCCAGGAGAAGGAGATGCTGGGGAGAAGGTTGTTACTGGCTGACAGTGGGGGGAGGGGATACCCATAGAGGAATCGTTGCCCCTTTGCAATCCCACTGTACCCCAAACTAGCATCACACCACACCCCAATATTACACTGCACCCCAACATAGCACCACGCTGCACCCCCGCATCTACCGCAACCCAATAGAAGAGGAAATTTCAGCCCTAGACACCTTCACACTGCACCCAGTATGGAATCGACCAGCATCCCGATGTACCCGTCAGGTTATTCACCCCATTTTCTCCATTCTGGGGGCAGAGGCAGAAGAGGGGGGAGAACCCGTCAGCCGACCATCAGACCTGCCTAGCAGTAGCTAGAAAGTACTGCACAGAAATGCGGAGGCCAGTGTGGATGTGGGGAAGGGAGGGGGGAGTTTTTCCACCCACCGCGTTTCCTCTCACTGCTCCCCTGTATCTCACTGAGCCCCAACTCTGCACAGTGCCCACATGGTTCCCAGCAGGAGGCAGGGACACTCTGTGTGGGATCCGCTGGCTGGACTGGGTTGCCCAGTGCACAGGCGGGGTACAGGACGGGTGGTCTCTGTCTCAGCTGTGAGCATCAGCCGGTCACTCCACTGGGACCAGGAACCTCTTCAGAGACCAAATCCCTGCTCTGAGAGAAGAATTTGTATCCTATGGTGATTTCACCCCCAAATGCCGAGCACCTCAGGGTAGCACCTTCCCCTCTGATATATGAAGGCAGTAGAGGATCCTGGCGTACTGGTGCCAGCAGGGGGTCAGGGTAACATGACAGTAACCAATCCCTCTCCTGATAGAAATCATGACTGAGGAATCCAGGCAGCTGCAGGGATGAAGATTCACAGTTGGTGGCCCTGACAGTGCCCAGCCAGGTCTCCAGCGCTGTGAGCTTCCCTCGAGCCGTGCCCACATAGGACCCCAGTGCTGGAGCTACCCCACAGCAGTGCCCTCTCGGTGCCCATTCTTTGCTGATCAGCTGGCACCCCATGTCCACCACAGAGTGTCTGAGATGCAGGGAGTGACCCTGACTAGAGGCAGGGAGTAAAACTGAGGTGTTGGGGTGTGTGACTCTGTCAATTTTCTATTAATATGGTGCATGCCTCAGTTTCCCCTATGTACTGCATGGGGAATGTTTACTCTTTACAGAGACCCAGGTATTGGGTGTGGCTGATGTGGACTGACCCAGATGGACTTTGCTGTAACTTCCTGTTCTCTACGGTAACTAAGGACTTTCTACGCTGGTTCCGAAATAGCCAATAAACCTCCTGCTGTTACCGCACTCGCTGAGAGTCACTGCAGTTTAAGGAAGGTGGGGGCGCGTTGCTCCCTTTGGGTGTGCAAGTGTCTGTCTCAGGTGTGCAATGAGGTGGTGTCGCTGCGGGGAGCTCGAGGTGTGACCCAGGGGGGCTGAAGGCTCCAAGGTTCAGTCCCAGGAGACGCTGCAGCCAAATGGCCCCTAGTGAAGCTGTGACCCTACGGGGGCTGACACATGGAAGGGGCCCTCCCAGGCACTGCTCCAGAGCGGCTCTAGAGCACCGCACCTGAGGCTCTGTCACAGGGTGGGCGTCAGACCCCTAGAGACTCTCCCGTCAAACAGCAGGAAAACCAAGGGCTCACCTGTCACTGTGATGGAGACGGAGTTGCTGTTCCCAGATGAGATCTCTTGATTGGATTCCCATCTCCAGTACGCACAGGTGTATGTCCCAGCATTTCCCTTCTCAGCTGTGAGCTCCAGCCGGGTACCTTCATTCGGGTGTTGGACTGCACTGGGGTCCTGCTGCCCTTTTTGATAGGAGAATCTATATCCCGAAACCAGCTCACCCCTAGGAGCCGAGCACGTGAGGGTAACCCGCTCCCCTGGGAGATACACTGTGTACCTGGTGTCCAGAGAGAGTGTGGGGGCCGACAGGTGATCTAGAACAGAGGCAGAGGGGTCAGTGGAGTGGGAGAGACCATGATTGAATGAGGAGAAGGGGGAAGAGATGAGTCCTGGAGAGACATGATCACAAACAGGCTCATTTCACTGCCCAGCACCCACCCCCCACGCTGGGAAATATACCATGGCAAATAAACTATGGCCCGTCTCTCTCTCTCTCTCCCTCTAGCAGGGCTGTCCCTACCCATACGCAAATTACGCAGCTGCCTAGGCCACCAGGATTTCCTGGTCCCCTGCACTGCTGTGTGCTGCTCCAGCCCCTTCCCTGCCTCTTCCCCATGGCCCCAGCCCCTGCGCTGCCCCAACCCCACCTCTTCCTGCCCCTGCTCCACCCCCACGCCCTGAGGACTGCAGAAGCGGTCAGGCCTGTCCTCACCGGTAAGTAGAGCGACCCGGCCCCAGCCTGTTCCACTCCCCTGGCTCCCAGCTGCTGGGGGGCGGTTCTCCCCTGCCCCCAAAGTCTGGGAGCCAGGGGAGTGGAGCAGGTTGGGGCCAAGTCACTCCACTTCCCGCAGGAAGAGGTGAACTTCCCCCCCCCCGGAGGACTGGGGCGGGCCCCACAGAGCCCCCAGCGGAGGTCTGGGACCCCACAGAACACCCCTCCCCCCGGCATCAAAATAGCTAGGGTCGACCTGGCCTCTGGGATCTTTTTATAGATCCCAAAGCCAGAAGGGACCATTGTGATCATGGAGTCCGACCTCCTGTGTCACCCAGGCCCTAGGGCTTCCCTGAACTGATTCCTCTGTGACCTAGAGCAGATCTTTGAGAAAAACATTCAGGCTTGATTTAGAAATCATCAGCGCTGGAGAATCCACCACGACCCCTGGGAAATTGTCCCAGTGGTTAATTCCACTCACTGCTAAAATATGTGCCCTATTGCCAGTATGAATTTGTCTAGCTCCAGCTCCCAGCGTTTGGGTTGTGTTTGATCTTTGTCTGTTTAATTAAAGATCCGTCGATTATCACATTTCTGTTCCCCAGATAGGAACCTTCTCGTTGATACATTAACAGCTCGAGCTCCTGGAGTCTCTCACTCTATGGCAGGTTTTTCAACCGTTTAATCATAACCCTAACCCTGTCCTGCCCCTTCTCCAATTTATCTCCATCCTTGAATGGTGGAGACCAGAACTGGATGCAGGATTCCAGCAGGGGTCGCCCCAGGGTCAAATCCAAAGGTAAGATGGCTCCTCTCACCCTGGCATGTTTGTATGCCATGGACATACGTGCATGTGCCATCAACCCACCCCTGAAAGGCAAGAAGGAGGAATTATCACTATTCTAATGGGGGAAATTGAGGCCGGAGTTCCTCAGGAGCTTAAAGGAGTTAGGCCCCAACAAATCTCAATGGGATTTTGGCACCAAACAGCCTTAGTCTCCTTGGAGATCCCCAAGGGAAGTGACTGGTCCAAGGTCACGGGGAGAGTCTGTGGCAGGACTGGGAACTGGACCCTCTCCAAGTCCCAGTCCACTGTCGAATTGTCAAAGCACATCTGGCTCAGGGCTTCCTATAATGTCTGCCATGGCACTACCTAGCAGTATAAATCAGACCCCGGCACACTGAGACCCTGTTCAGTGTCCAAACGACACATCCAATCTGCCACCGCTGGGGTTTCTCAGTTGCCGATGCCTGTGGTGTCTAGGTGGATGACCAGCTCCTGGCTGCTCTAGGAAATAAACCCTGGTGTAGATTTTGCCAGGGAGAAGTGACTGAGGACCAGGGATGGGGAAAGCGTTTGATGGTCCTTGTACAGCAACCAAGATCTCTATGTTCTCTCTCCAGATATAACTGGGCAGAAGGTGGAAACCTGAGGCTGGGGGCCTGCAGGGATTCTGGAATAGAGGCAGGGGAGAGACCCCCATGGAGTGAGGGTGTCGCGGGGCGGGGTGGCCACCCTGCTCCAGCCCTGAAGGGGTTAAAGCAGCCCTGGAGAGGGCTGTGGCTGGAAAAAGCTAGGCTGATTGGAGAAGCAGCCACAGCTGAGGCCACGCCCCAACCAGGCCACAGCTGGCCCTATAAGAGGGCTGAGGGCCAGAGGCTGTAGGAGAGACTCTCTCTCTAGAAGCTAGAGAGCGAAGGACCTGGCTGCTGGGAGATGAGGTGGGTACCTAGGGTTGAGCAGTGCTGGGGAAGGGCAGAGGGAGCTGGGGAGCTCCAGCCTAGCTAAGCCCCAGGCTGAGTTAAGGGCCCACAACAAGGGCACTAGGGCTGCAGAGAGGCTGCCCAGGAATAGGCAGACGCAGCTGGTCCAACCCCCCTGGCCGATGATGAGTGGGTTACAGACGGCGTCTGCCCCAGGGAGCGGGGGCTAAATGGAGACTGGCAGTAGCCACTGAGGCAAGGTGGGGATAGGGGTTTGGGGGTTCCTCTGGGAGGGGAGTTTGTGGGTTGCTGCTAAGGGGCAGAACCCTGATGTAAAGGACACTGGGGTCTGGGAGGGACATGGGCTCCAGTGGCAGGCGAGACACCAGCCTGCAGAGGCTGCTCCAGAAGCTGGAAGAGCTAATTCCCGAGATGACCGGCAAGAGGCGCCGCAGGGGTGAGTCTCACTTCGCTACAGAGGGGAAGAGCTGGTGGGGGAACCAGGCCCCAACACAGGGCCTCAACCTAGTCCCACCTCCCTTTCTCCTGCCCCCTGACTGTGACATACTTGATGGCAGATATACATGGGGGAGCTCTCCAGTAAACTTGTGGGAGCGGTGCCCCCTCACCAGTACCTGCTGGGCCCAGCACAGCATGGCTGGATCCTCTCCCAGTATCTGAGCTCCAACCCCCACCACCTGGACGGGAGCGGGGAGGGGGACAACTGTGAGGGGATCCCACCAAGAAATGAGCCACTTTCGGTCCCCGCTGGACTCTCCCCTCCTGCCCGGTGGGTGCTGGAGTCTCAGCCAGTAACACGCTCACCCTAGGGAGTTGTGGGGCTGGGCTCTCACTACCCCACACTCTCCATGCTGGAGAAGAGGGGTGCAGAAAGAGCGTTGGAGTGGGGAAGGGTTGCTGATGCAAATGGTTCAACCCCAAGACCCCCATTTCCATCAGGGTATTCACCCCATGTTCTGCATTCTGGGGGCAGAGGCAGAAGAGGGAGGAGAACCCGTCAGCCGACCATTAGATCTGCGTTGCCGTACCTAGAAAGTACTGCACAGAAATGAGGAAGCCAGTGTGGATGTGGGGAAGGGAGGGGGGAGTTTTTCCACCCACCGCGTTTCCTCTCACTGAGCCCCAGCCCTGCACAGTGCCCACATGTTTCCCAGCAGGAGGCAGGGACACTCTGTGTGGGATCCGCTGGCTGGACTGGGTTGCCCAGTGCACAGCAGGGGTAAGGGACGGGTTGTCTCTGCCTCAGCTGTGAGCATCAGTCGGTCACTGCACTGGGACCAGAGACCTCTTTGGAGACCAAATCCCTGCTTTGAGAGAAGAATTTGTATCCTATGGTGCTTTCACCCCTGAATGCCGAGCACCTCAGAGTAGCACCTTCCCCTCTGATACACAACGGCAGCAGAGGATCCTGGCGTATTGGTGCCAGCAGGGGGTCAGGGTAACGTGACAGGAACCAATCCCTGCCTGATAGAAATCATGACTGAGGAATCCAGGCAGCTGCAGGGATGAAGATTCACAGTGGGTGGCCCTGACAGTGCCCAGCCAGGTCTCCAGCGCTGTGAGCTTCCCCAGAGCAATGCCCACCTGGGACCCCAGGGCTGGAGCTACCCCACAGCGGTGCCCTCTCAGTGCCCATTCTTTGCTGATCAGGTGGGATCCCCCTACCCACCACAGAGCGTCTGAGATGCAGGGAGTGGCCCTGACTAGAGGCAGGGAGTGAAGCTGAGGTGTTGGGGGGGGGGGAGGGTGACCATATGGCAGTTTTCTATTAATATTGTGCATGGCTCAGTTTCCCCTATGTGCTGCATGGCTAATGAGGGGGTGGGAAAAGATTG